AGTTCATATTGACTTATAAACTTGTAAATTATTGGTTTGTTGACAGAAAATACCAGCTAGAAATATAGGGTGCCATTAGCAGCTCCTATCTGATGAGTGGTACGTGTAAAATATCAGAGACAAAAGGAATGTTCTCATTAATCTCAGATCAGGGCCTTCTTAGCAGTATTATGGACCCCTGGGCAAAGCAGCGTGCAGGGGCCCCTATGACAACTACAGGAATAAAAATGTAGATGGTTGATAAAATTAAACATTTATCTGTTGTAAGACTGTGAAATGCTTGTTAGTAAAGTAGCAAATTAATTCCCAATCTTTGCATCTGATTTCTTTCTTCAGATACCAAGAAGTGCAGGTGGGAGTTGGAAACAAATAGAGGATTAGATGTCATGTTAGTAAGAATAGTGTTGGAAGCTTGGAAGCTGAGTAGTTTCCTGGCTGATTCAATAATTCTGAGCCAGGTATTTTGTTTCTGGTTTTGAAATCCTTGAAGAGTTTGGAATGGATCTACAAAGGGATGAATTTGAAAGGATCAGATTGTTTTTCTCAATGTGGGAATTCCTGTTAATATATTCATTAACTGAGTAACACAATAATTTTAATGATTCTGTTTAAAAACTGGCCTGAAAAAGTTGGGATTTAAAAGTCTTTGGGGTGGGGGTGGGGTGATCTCCAGGGCAAGTGCAAATTATTCATCGTTGTTATAACTGCCTTTTCCATTCAACTTACCATCAAGTGTAAGGAGTTTCAGAGCCTCTTGAGTTTCTTCTTCTGTTATATTGAGGCCCATTCCTGTCAGGCTGGATCTCAGATCACCAGTTTCAACCATTTGCCCTGATATCAATTTACAAAAACCATCCAATGTCACAAGATCCAAGATTCATATTTCATAAGTATCAGTATATCATTGCCAACTGGCCTGGTGGTTTCTGCTACCCTTCAACTCCCCAAACCCAGCACCTTGGAATGAGAAAACAAACAATTTCACTAGGGGGGTTCCTACTTTTAGCCATTAAGGATTAAAATTGGTAGAAGTAGATAGATGGGTGGGTATCCTTCTACATGGACTTATTTTCAAGGTTGTGTTGCACCTACTAATATTGTACCAAACATGATATCCTGACTAATAGTTAATTATGTGTCATATATATATTACAATGTCAATCAGAATAAAGTTTAAAAAGCATACTATTAACCCATACTTAGAGGTTAATATAGGATCACTAACAATCCCATCATAAGCAGAAGTATATAGCGTATTCTTCCTTCCTAGTAAGGTTTCTACTTACTGCTGTATTCAGATTCATCTCTAAAGTGTGTTGATTTCAGTTCCTGCTAGTGATTGGAATCAGTAATCTTAAAATTTAGCACCACTATTTCAAGATCAGGGTGATAAAAGCCTGAATTATTTTTTCTAATATGCACCTCTTATGAATTAATTTCTACATTAAAAAGAATCCAGCATCAACTCTTTGAATAAAATCCAGGACACAAGAAAGCAACAAGACATGACACGTTATAATGATTGCAAAGAGCAATTCAGCAAGAGGTATAAATTGGGCAACAGGTACCCAATGACCTGAACTGCAAGCGCTTAGCTTAACAACAGCTGCTGAAGCACAAGAGAAGAGGATAATTACTGCCACCTGTTCATCTTTGAGAGCTTCCCAGATATATCTAATTGGACACAATAGAATGCTTGATTCTATGGGCTGTGATGGATTATATTTTTACTTGTATTCTTTATTATATTATAAATTATTATAATTAGGATGTTTCCATGGAAAATATGCTGCATAACGAGTTTTTTTAAAAAGTTACCTCTCTAGTAATTTAAATTCTACACCTATTCTGCAAAACAGCATTCCCTAATAGAACTATGAACCACTAAACCATTTCACATGAACAGGAGTAGATAACATTGTCTTTATGCTGCCAGCCCACTAGGAAAGACCCACTTCCTGCCTTTTGAGTCTACTTTGGAGCAGGAGGGGAGGGGAGCAAAGGAAATGCCCAGTTTGCCTAATGACTCAGAGTGGAACTTGAAAAAAAGCAAACATCCAATTCTTACAACAACAAAAAATTGTCATCTTTTCCACAGTGGCTGTAACCACAATTATAACATTTTTATTTTGATCATAAATCAGAAAATAAAGTATAAAATTTACACCAGTTGCTACATCAATCAAAGCTATAAAAATACTTTACTCGTTGGCTGGCAAATTTAAGAATATCAACTCCAGACTATCCTTCAGTTTATTGTAATTTGAATTATAATTTCAAATTGCCCAGAGACTTACCTCCTGCACTTAATATGAGCTTCATATTCTTCACCCCTTCCATCAAATCACTCAGATTAACTTTTCCATCCTCTACAAGACAGAGGACAAAGTAATTAACCCAGCTGAACAGGAAAGCCTAACTGAGGCTGCTGTTACTTACATCTCAAGAAATATGCATAAAAATAACAGAACTATTTCTGAAACTGGAATTCTCTGGAAATGTTAGAAAAGCACATTTATAGCAAATGTTAGGAATTATAGCCCTAACACATCTTTGAAAAGTGGGCATATGTGTGGTAATGTGCAGAAGACTGAATCAACAAATAGCATTTTTATTTTTATTTACAGATTAACAGAATTGGAAGAGATTGTCGTATTTTGTAATAATACTCCTAACACGTGAGTTCTCTGCACACAAACTGCTTTATTTTTCTTAACTCCTCCCTTCCCGTTCCTTCATACTGTGTCACCTGAAAATATGTCTCTCACTACTCTCTGTCTAACATTGGTTCCTCTTCACAGTTAAACATCAACAGGTTCCGTTTACCTTACACCACATCTCCCTTTTCTAGAGAACAAAGGGTAGACTACCTTTATCTCACCAGACCTTAGAGGATTATTCTGCCTCTTTTGTTGAAGGTCTGTTCCTATCTAAATCCTGTAGGGAAGAAAATGTTATTATATAACTATTCACTAATCCAATACACCTAAACTGTGTTTAAACTATTCTGCACCTCAGATTTCTTACTGAACTACACATCAACATTAGCTCTTTTTCACTTTCTCAATTCACAGATTCAGTCTCTCTGATTAAATTATAGCTCTCCCAGACCTTGTCCTTGGGGTAGCTGTCACACTAGGAAAGTTTTTAAGTATTTTCCCAGGTGATGTAGAAACTTGCTCACTGTTTGTCTCTGGCAACTCCTGCTGCTCCACCTCTCCTTCTTCACTTGCATGTGTGTGTAAGGGTATCAGGTGCTGACGATTGCGTCTCACCACACCTTTAGGTACATCCACCAGATATGACCTTGGACTCGTGTGATTCTGCAGCACAGTCCCAGATTCTTTTGTATCGGTGACCCATATATGCTCTCCTGGTACCAAATCACTAAGAGGTTTTGCACAATGTCTCCTGTTGTAGTATTCAGTATTCAATTTCCTCTTCTCTCTCTCTTTATGAGCAAAATGGTCAACATTTGGCAATGCTAGGTCTAGCTGAGAGGGAAGAGTCGGCACAGTGGTACGAAGACGTCGCCCCATAAGCAGCTGAGCCGGACTGAACCCCCTCTGGAGAGGGGTAGCTCTGTAGGCAAGCAGGGCCAGATAAGGGTCGCTAGCCTTTGTCAAGAGACTTTTCACTGTCTGAACTGCACCTTCAGTTTCTCTGTTACTTTGTGGAAACTTTGGACTGCTAGTAACATGTTTGAACCCATATGTGGATGCAAAATGAGAGAAATCTTGGCCAGAAAACTGTGGTCCATTGTCTGACATCAACTCCTCTGGAATCCCATGCTGGGTAAAGATTGACTTTAGATGGACAATGACATCAGTTAACTTAGTGTTTGATAGCAGTGCAATCTCGACATATCTGGAGAAATAGTCTATCACAACTAAGTATGTTTTCCTTCCAAATACAAACAAGTCAGTCCCTAACTTTTGCCATGGTCTTTCAGGGCACTCAGATGTCATGAGTGGCTTTTTAGGATTCTGACGCTCTTGAATACATGTCCTGCATTTGAGCACCATTTCACTGACCTGCTGACTGAGTCCTGGCCACCACACAGACTGACGAGGACGTTCTTTGCATTTCACCACCCCTTGGTGTCCTTCATGCAGCCTCTCCAACACCTCATTCCTCAGAGTGGATGGGATCACAAGCCTAGTGTCTTTCAGTAGTAATCCATCTTGTACAGTGAGTGTAGCTCGTTCTGGCCAGTATCCTCTCAGTGCAGGTTCCTGTTTTGCATGCACTGGCCATCCATCTGCACACAATTTCATGACTTGAGAGCAAATACTATCAGCTTGCAACTGCTTTTTTATGATTTCCATATATGTGTGGCTAACAGGCAAGGTGTCTACTACACAGTCCACATATATGTTACTGCTTTCCATCAGCTCCAGTTCTGCTTTGGACATGTGAGAGTCCATAGGCGAACATGACAATGTGTCTGCTGTCCAAAGTGACTTTCCGAGCACGGGCATAATGTAGTAAGAGTAACGCATGAGCCTCATCCTGAATCGCTGAATTCTCAAGGGTAGAAGATCTAGTGCTTGGTCTCCAAACAAACTGACAGCTGGTTTGTGGTCAGTCTCCAGGCAGAAATGCTTTCCTAGGAGGAAATCCCGAAAGCTTTCACATGCCCAGGTTAGAGCCAGGCCTTCTTTTTCCACCTGTTCAGTTGGAGTGTATGAATGTGATGCATAAGCCACAGGCTTCCATTTATCTCCCCACTCTTGAAGAAGAACCAAGCCGTATGATGATGCATCCACTGACACTTTCATCACTTTGTTCAGATCATACATGGCCAGAACCGGAGGGGAAGACAAAGCATCTTTCAATGTCTTAAATGCCCTTACCTGTTCCACATCCCAAACCCAACAGTTTTTCTTAGAAAGGAGATCACAAAGTGGCTTGTCTTTTTCTGCCAACTGAGGGATGAACTTCCCCAGCTGGTTTACCATGCCAAGAAAACTCCTCAGTTTGTTCACACTAGAGGGCTCCTAAATAGCTCTGATAGCCTCTGTTTTCCTTGGGTCAGGTCCTCTCCCTGCATCAGAGATGATGTGACCCCAAAAGACCACCTCACTCCTGGAGAGCTCACACTTATCCACATTCAGAGTGATTCCCGCCTTTTCCAGTTTTTTTAGCACTGCATGGAGTCGATTGTCATGTTCTTCTTGGTCCCGTCCCCATACCAGTAGATCATCAATGTGGCAAACTATACCTTCCAGCCCCTGTGTAACTTCCGCCATCATACATTGGAAATGTTCGGGGGCTGAGGCAATGCCAAATGGAAGATGGTTAAAGTGGAACCGCCCAAAGGGTGTAATGAATGTGGTATACTTTGCTGAATCCTTGGTGAGGGGTATCTGCCAAAACCCCAGGTTGGCGTCTAATTTACTGAACATTTTAATACCAGCCAGTGTTCCAAGACTCTGTTCTACTGATGGTAAAATGAATTTTTCACGACATACATACTTGTTCAAGCCGGTCAGGTCCACACACAAATGCACCTTTTTGCTGTCCTTCTTGGGCACACTACCATGCCTGCGCACCAGTTCGTAGGCTCTTCCACACAAGTGATTACTCCCAAGTTTTCCATGCGTTGAAGCTCATCTTTGACTTTCCCCATCAATGGTAGGAGAATCCTCCTTGGGGTTTTCAAAGAGAAAGGCATAGCATTGGGTTTGAGCTTAATACAATAAGGTTGTCGAACCTCCCCTAGGCCGCTGCATAACTTAGGGTAGCTTGACTTCAGGTTTTCCATGTCAATAGTGTCTGCACGAACCAACAGACCAAGAGCTACAATAGCTGGCAGTCCCAGCAAGGGCATACTCAGGTTTTTGACCACATACACCTTCTCTGTAATTTGTTTTGCTTCTTTCTTTAGCTGTAGTTTGGCAACCTCCCTCACTTCCAGTGGAATTCTCCCTGGACCCAGTAGAGTTCTCTCTGCTTTTTGCAGCACTGGCACCCGTGTCGGAAAATGTTGGCAAAATTCTTCTGTGAAACAACAGTGACATCTGCTCCGGTATCCAACTTGAACGTGATGTCTTTATCTATCATTCTGATTTCCACAGTCCATGGATCAGCATGTGATGTCACAGAGCTGAGAAAGAAGCTTCTCTCCTCTTCCTCAATGCCATGCACAGCCTTGCTTGCAAAACATTCACATTGATAGTGACCCTTTTTCCCACATGTATGGCATTTAACATCCTTAGCAGGACATTCCTGTCTAGGGTGAAGCATGCCATCGCATTTATGACACTGGGGGCCTTTAGTGTTTTGGTTCTGCCTGCTTTGAGGCTTTGCTCCATCATTCTTTGCTCTGCTGAATTTTTGCTTTTCTTTCTGATGCCTGCCTTTAAACAGTCTGTCCAAAGAGTTCACATCCTTTAGGTTTACAGCACTAGCATCACTTCTCAATGTGGTTTGCTTTTTTAAAATCTCCTCTGATTGTCTTGCCATATTAATAGCTTTATCCAGGTCTAGGTCTTTTCCCATTTGCATGTGTTCTGATAGCCGTGTATCGACCAAGCCTACTACAATCCTGTCTCTGATGAGCTCGTCATGTAGTGCTCCATAGTTACAGTGTTCTGCTAATGCATACAGCACTGTGACAAATGCATCAACTGTCTCATTTGCTTCTTGTTTGCACATATTCTTTGACCCTCTATTTTTTTCCTGAAGTAGGAATGTACACAGGTAGGTGAGGGCAAAAAAGATGCCAGCTTCACTCCCTTTTTACATGTGTTACACATAAAATAGGCACATCACTCCATATGCATGGTCATGGCTGTCATGTTGACTTTTTTAATCCTCCTCATGGACATCCATGCTCCTAAGCTTTCAAACTCTCCACCCTTTTTGAGTAATGGCTTTTAAAAGACCTAGAGGTCATCAGGCTACCTTCTTCCTGTAAACGTTATCATGCATCAATTCAGCTTTCACCACACCAAAGAACCTTAAGAAAAATATGAACCTCCCCCACTCCCCAAGGAAGATATAGTGAGGGAATTCAGTGTTAACAATCAGAGGTACTAACAACTAGCCTTTTTTTTCATCTCCAGAATTCACTGGACTTCACTTGAAAATGCAGTGAGAATTGATCTGGATTGTTTTGATTAAATTTGGATTTTTCACCCAGTGTTGCTTTTTTTTATGAGATAGTAGAAATAGGAGTCCCTGGGATTTCACTCTGCTGGTTGTTACTGATTATAGGGGGTAGTGCTCATCTCCATTTCAAAGCCATTGAGCCAGCACCATCTGAAGAGAATTCCGTGATCATGAGGCCAGCATGACTTCAAGAAGTACTGTTACCTTCCCAACAAAGTGGTACCTATTTATCTACTTGCATTTGCATGCTTTAGAACTTCTAGTTTGGCAGAAGCTGGGGCGAGGACTGGAGCTCACCCTGTCACATGGCGCTCAGGTCTCAAACCTTGACTGACAGCTTTTCCAGCCAACAAACCCAGCATCTCAACTACTGAGCCACCATCCCTGATGAAATGGACAGCATGTAAATTTAATTTAATGAACAAATAAATAGGTGCTCTGGTGGCACAATGGTTAGAATGCAGTATTGCAGGCTAACTCTGCCCACACTCTGGCATTTGATCCTGAAAGGGTTCGAGGTTGGCTCAACCTCCAAGGTTAGTAAAATGAGGACCCAGATTGTTGGGGGCAATATGTGATATTATAAACTGCTCAGAGAGTGCTATAAAGCACAATGGAGCAGTATATAAGTGCTCTTGCTCTTGCTGAATACACAAACAATGTTTGACATACTTGCAGGCTCTTAGCACTTGCAGAAAACCAAGAAGCAACCAATACTTTTCTTTCCAGGTCTAAAGATTTTGCCCAGGGAACTCTGAGCCTACGAGCCAGAAGGCGTGTAAGCACAGTGTAAGGCTTAAAATATACCCCTTCCCTTTATGAAAACAATTACAGGTAGCCTTGACACAGAACTGTTCATTTAACAACCATTCAAAGTTACAACGGCATAAAAAAAATAACTTAACAGATCCTTGCACTTATGTCCATTGCAGCATCCCCACAGTCATGTAAACAAAATTTGGATGCTTGGCAACCAGCACGCATTTACAATGGTTGCAGTATCCTGGAGGATCACGTGATCACCATTTGTGATCTTCTTGGACAGCTTCCAACAAACAAAGTCAATAGGAAAAGTCAGGTTTGCTTAATGACTGAAGGACTCACAACTGCAGTGATTTCTTTAACAACTGTGGCAAAAAGGTTGTAAGTTAGGTATGACTCACTTAACAGCAATGGAGATTCTCTTCCCACTTGTCAGAAATTGAGGTACTGTACACAGATTATATGGTTAGTGTCTGTGTGCTCATCAGAGAGGTCCATTGGCCTTTCTTTCCAATTAAAATTCTTCTTTCAGAATCTTTATTCAGCCATTCAGTGAAACCAAGGGAAGATGGGCACCACACTGTTTTTCCCCTAGCTATTAAGCCTTTAACTTTCACTATCACACTTGACTTCAATCAATTCCCCTCCCCCTGAGTTATCTGCCATTTTTAACTTTAGTCTGCATTGTTAAAACAGAAGAGTTTTCTTTAGCATATTGAGTGACTAAAAATATATGGCTGCCCCACTCACTTTCAGCGACACCAATGACAATCTGTCAATCAAATAAATCACTTGATTATCTCTATCTCACTCTGGGTTCCCCAGGTCCATTGGCAAAACCAGATCTTCAGGGCCTCATGAAAGATTGTCAAAATGGGGGAGCCAGTCTTATCTCCATGGGGATGATATTTTCATAGAGAAGGAGCCACAGATTAGCCTAATTTAACACAATCCAATCATAAATTACCCTAAATACAACTAATTTAAGTATCCCCAAAACTCACCATCTGGAGCTGTAGAATTCAGAACTTCCTTGATTTCATCATCTGTTAGGTAAATGCCCATATCGATTAGGGCATTATCCAGATTATTGACATAAATCCAATCCACTGAGAAAAAATAATAACAATCAGCAAATATTCCCAGAACTTTGGCATTCCATATGTAGTCAGCAAAGCTCATAAGGTAACTTTGCAAGTTTTCCATTCTAAAATCAGACAAGCAACCTGTTTAGAATGGAAATCTGGATTCTATACAATACGCATACTTTTTTCTTCATTTGATATTATTGGTGCATTTTTATTATTTTGCTTAATTTATTCAACTCATTGAATGAGCAAACACCATATGTCTCACTCTTTTGCCCTATGGTTTTATATTTAATCAAAACCTTGATTTTTGAAAAATCAGCAAAGATTAATGAATCACTATTCCCAATATCATCATTGTAATATCTAAATGTAAAAAAGCACCCTCTCAAGAAGCTGAATTCTGTTCTGATTACAATATTCTATATTCCCACAGAATCAAAACATCAAACCACAGACCCTAGTTTCAAGCAGACTGCCTTTTGCTAAGCCCACTAATTCATATGTTACTGTAGTTTTATCTCCTCACCTTCTAATTGCTGCCTCTTTTTTCAACCCCACTAGGCCCATCTGTTTTTTCCCCCAAATATTGCCTGCATGCTTGAAGAATTTTAATCCAACCATGAAAATTCACTTACTCCCTACTTGGGATTGTCTCTGGGTCTTAGCCACACTTTCAATTAGTTCATTCATCTTCACCTTTTCATTTTCTGCAGAGGCATTTAAAAGTGAGTTTAGCATGTAGGCAGCAAATGCAGGAAGAAGAATTGACTGCAACATTTTGCAAATCAGTTTAATTGCATTTAAATTATGTATGTATGCATGTATGTATGTATGTATGTATGTATGTATGTATGTATGTATGGTATTCAGCTTTGTTCGGGTATTTTCCCAGGTCATTGTAGGTGTGCTTTTAAAGTTGTAGCAACGTTTCGGCAGAATCTCATCTGCCATCATCAGGCTTCTGTATTGTGTCCGTCTATGTAGGCATGTTCCAGGCCCCATCAATTTAATAATGTTATCTATTAAAATCCAATAAACACGCCTTTTTTAGTAGAGTACAATTTTTGGATCAGACTCTCTCCAAAGATCTATGCGGCTCCCATCCTGATTATGTTTAAAATGTCTTTGAAAACCTGGCTTCCTTCTTAGGCATGGGGAGCAAATAGGAATTTATAGGTTACTGTGTTTTATTTTCTGGACTTTTATATAGGTATTTTCTTTGTCTTATTGAGCTTACTTTTTAAATAGTGTACATCCTGTAAATTTGGCAATTAAATAAATAATTCTTATATCTGTAGAGCCCCTGCTGTTCTCTGGTGATTTTCTTGTAGACATGTCATTACCAAGTTAGGTAACATCATCAGTGCTAGCTTTGTATCTAAGCCACTACTCACCATTAGGTTGAGGTAACTCCTGCAAGACTCTAAGATTCCTTGTGAATTCATTCAGGTTTACCATTCCATCTAATTTAAGATTACAGAAATGATAAATGAGAAGACCTGGACACCACAAATGGAAAATGCATTTTAAACATTTGTTCTTACATTAACATACACTAAATTTTTTAAAAGGGACTTTTTAAACTTTAGTCTGGGTTTCACTTTTGGGTAATTCCACTATAAAATCCATAGAGATTTCCTTCCATGGAGCCGTTGGTCTAGCCACATTTTGTAGTAAGCCTGCTGGTTTACCAGGAGGCCATTTGGCTGAGGCACAAATACCTACATAAGTCTCAATGTCCTTTTTCAAGGTAGGCCACCAAAATTGCCTTTTAACTAAGTGTAAGGTTTTCACGAATCCAAAATGACCAGTAGCTTTAGAGTCATGAGCTTGCTGTAATATTTGGCTTCTCAGCTTTGCTGGCACATATAATTTGGCCCCCACCCATGCCAATCCATCTCTAACCATACAGTTATTTGAGTGAGCAAGGAACCAATCATCAAGTTTTAGAGCATCTCTTAACTGTGCAGTCAATTCATTTGATAAATCAACCTCCTTCTTTTTCTGGGCTCTGGTACCACTGAAGCTGCCAACTGTTTGGTTGGGACAATCGGCTGTACCACTTCTTGGCAAGCACTATTATATTGAGGTAATCTAGATAAAGCATCCGCCATGAAGTTCTTCCCCCCTGGAATGTACTTCAATGAAAAATTAAAGCGCTTAAAGTACTGCGCCCAGCAAACTTGCTTGGGAGACAGCTTCCGAGGCGTTTTCAAAGCCTCCAGATTTTTATGATCTGTTCACACCTCAAATGGGTGTTTTGCCCCTTCTAAGAAATGCCTCCAAGTTAACAGAGCCCAACGAACTGCAAAAGCTTCTTTTTCCCAGATGGCCCATCTTCTTTCGGTTTCTGTTAGTTTACGGGAAGTATATGCACATGGTTGCAGAGTCCCCGTCTCGTTTGCTTGTAGTAACACCACCCTGACTGTTATGTCACTCACATCGGCTTGGATTACAAAAGGAGCATCCATGTCCGGGTGCTTGAGTACTGGTTCAGCAGCAAACAGTTGTTTCAGCTTCTCAAAAGTGGCTTGACATTCCATGGACCACTCCAGGGGTTTACTAGGCTTCAGTTTCACCTCCCCTTTGGTTTTTAGGAGATTTGTGATAGGCATTGCAATCTTCGCAAAAGCAGGGATAAATTGATGGTAAAAATTAGCGAATCCCAAGAAACTTTTAAGTTGTTTCCTGGTGCAGGGAGGGGCCCATTGCAAAACGGCATGAACATTCCCCGGATCCATTTCTATGCCATCATGTGAGATGCGATAACCTAAATAGTCTATTTTTTCCTGGTGGAATTCACACTTGGACAACTTTGCATACAGCTCAGCAGCTCGAAGTTTTTCCAGAACTGACTGCACTAGTTTCACACGTTCATCACGAGTCTCCATGTAGATAAGAATATCAACAAAATAAACCAACACTCCTTTGTATAGATGTTCATGTAACACCTGACTGATTTGCATGAATACTGCAGGGCACTCCTGTAGGCCAAATGGAGGAACGTTGAATTGGAAACAACCCATTGGGCAGTTAAAAGCAGTTTTCCATTCATGCCCTTCCTTAATTTGAACCCGGTAGTATGCTTCTCTCAAGTTGAATTTTGTAAAAAATTTTCCCTTTGGCCAAGTGGGCCAACATATCCTTCATCAAGGGGAGGGGGTACACATTCTCCACTGAAATAGCATTCAGGTTTCCATAATCAACACATAAACGAAGGGAGACATCTTTCTTTTCACAGAACAATACTGGGGCTGCTACCTGGGGTCTAGTGGGTTGGATGAAACCATGTTCCAAATTCTTATTGATAAATGACCGCAGCTCTTCTAGCTCCTGTGGTGTCATTGAGTACATTTTCAGTTTTGGGAGTTTCACTCCGGGTATAATTTTAATACTGCAATCTGTTGAACGATGGCGGGGAAGCTCATCCGAGGCCTTTTCACTGAATACCTCCTTTAAGTCCCAATATTCCTCCGGAATTTTCTCCTCCCCCATCATGTTCTTGGTGCCAGTGGAGGCCAGTTCAGTGGGATTCTTGACCCTCCCCTTCTGGGTGCTGGTCAGTATGTATGTGCAATGACCCTCTCCTCCAATCAACATGGGGGTTCCATTTCCGGAGCCAGGGCAACCCCAGTATTAGGGGCCGCTCCATCCCAGGAGCCACAATAAAACACAAAGTCTCTCTATGCTTCCCCATTGTCATTTCTATTGGTTCCATTATGAAATGTGCAGGGCCGCCCCCAGCTACCGATCCATCCAATTGACAAAAGGCTATGGGCGTTTTTAAAGTCTTCAGCCTTAAGCCCATTTTCTCCACTACCTCCGAGCTGATTACACACCTTGTGCACCCAGAGTCTAACAAGGCCAGCATTTCCCCTTTGGTTCCCGATGTGGGTACCCTTAATCTCACTGGAATGGTCATAGGGCCCTTGTTTGGACTTACCAGTGAATCATCTTCAACACGGATTCACTCTCTTCAGAAGAGGTTGGAGTTCCCAGCTCCTCTCTTTTCGTAGGGTCGATCTCTACAACCTCCTCTGCTTTAAGTGCCATTTTGCAAGGCTTTGCTGGGGTTTTTTCAGGTTTTCTTCCTCCTCCTGGTGCCCCCTTTGGTTCTAGCTTGGCACAGCAATCTGCAGCCTGGTGACCTTCCTTCCCACATCAGAAGCAAGCAGTGGTCTTGGGTTTTGCTGCCATTCCTCCCTTTTGAGGTTTTAAGGCTTCTCGAGGGCTGGTGGGGGAGGATTTGCTCCAACCAAGACCCCCCCGGCATCTGTTTTGGGTCAGATCAATTTCCACCTCTGCCGCCAGCACGTACCACAGCTGCAGCTTACTGGGGTCTCTTCTGGCAATACAGCTTTGATATACATCTTCATTCAACCCATCTTTAAAAGCTTCTATGAGGGCTCCCTGGGACCAGCCTCAAATATGACACGCCAGCTCTCTAAATTCCTGGGTGTAGTTGGTCACTGATCTCCATCCCTGATTTATGATCTTCATCCTAATTCTGGCCTTACGTTCAGCAAGTGGGTCTTCAAACCCGGCCTGCAGCGCAGTCATGAACAGGTCATAATTCATCAGCTGGGGGCATTATCATTATGCAAAGTCACCATCCACTTTGCAGCTGTTCCCTCCAGAGTCCTGGTAACACATCTAACTTTGGCTGCTTCTGAGGAAAAATCCCCTCCATATTCCTCCATATGGCTCCAGACTTGTGCCAGGAAGAATCCTAACTCCTTGGGATCCCCCCCATATTTTACTTCCAACGGGGGCACCTTTAGAGTTCTATGTCTTCTGGCAATTACTCCTCCCGCTGGGGGCCCCTCGGCTCTTGCTGCCTGTTGCACTAGCCCAGGTTGATTTATGGGGGGTGGCTGCTCTGATTCTTCTGGCTGGGGCTGCCTCCCCCTCCTCTTCCTCATACCTTTGATCAGTTTGAGATTCTCCGATAGCTTCATTTAGAAGATGCATGGCTTGAGTTAGTAAAAAATTCTTTCTTTCCTTCTCTTGGCATGGCTCCTCTCTTCCATGCCGACGGGTAGTGGTCACTCCTGGAGGAGGCTTTTCCTCAGGATCCTTCCAACTGACTCTCAGGGACCATTTGGGTTTTACAGCTGGTTTTTCCCCAAGATTTAGTTCTGCTAGTTGTCTTCCCCTGTTTCCCCTAGCAGCAGCAGAGAATCTTGTCCTCCAGTTGCTCCCAGGTCTTTTTGGTCACTGGCTGGATCTGACGTTGTGTTCGGATCCCCTCGGAAGAAAATTTATTACTTCTCCGGGTGGGCTGGTAATGTGGAGATTCAGAATAATGTCAGCTGGTGCTCCATTCAAAATCCAAGAAAGGAATACTTAGACTCTTTTAATCAGAGAGAAGATATATTTTACTGGAAATCAAGTGGTAGCAATAAAAGAATTCTGAATCTGAGAAGATGGGTGCGTAACTCACATATACAAAGTAATGGCAACGTTTCCACCCCCAATAGTTCAATTGGCTCATCCAATTAAAAGTTGTGTATATCATCATGTGGGCATCTCCAGGTGCTGATGAGGCTTCTGTTCGCTGACCTTGATATAGTTTGATAAAGGGTTGCAGCTGCGCAAAGCATAGGATAGAAACCTAAGCAAGAATGTGCTCCTCCAGCTTATATAGTTCTGCTTTGTAACACCTCCAGCTCACTTCCCATAATCATTCCCCCCCTCCTCCCCCCGTTACTTATGACAGCTGAAAGAAGCAAAGCAAAGGGAGAAAAATCTTGAAGGCTGACATGGACAATGAAGAAAGAGGAAACACCACTTCCGATGTGAGGCATTATTACTGTATTGGAGGGTACAGTGTTGGAGGATCAGAGAGAGATGCTTTGGGACACAGGAAAAAGACAGATGTGGAAAGAGAGCTGCTATAAGTACCCCTGATTGAAACTAACTAACCTACATCTGATTAAAAAATGGTGCAACCAGGTTCCCCTCAATGTGCTTGACCTGTAATACCCCAAATTTTCATAGTGTACCCCTGAGAATTTAGGACATTGTATTTCTAATACATCTGGAAGTCATCAGATTGGGGAATTTGTTTTGAATCCATCTATTTCTTAGTGCTTTAGAGTAAAACTGGAGACATTTGGGTATAACCTAAATAGGCTTCCAAGGTTATCCATGAGACAAGGTACTGAATGTGTTTTGAGAATCCATTTTATGCCCTTTAAATTAAAAAAAAGTTAATAATAAGAAAGCCAGTTTGATAATCAAGCCTCGAAAAATGTTGTAAACACCAAACAGTTCTGATGAATGTTGGAGCATTGTCTTGCCTATGAGGTATTTTTTAAAAAAACCCTGGGAATTCTTCCTGCTTAATGTTCATGAGTTCCTGGCTTCCCTACTTTCAAGTCTCTTGTCACTTAAATATATATCCCTATACTTCTTACCATCAACTGTAACTTGCTCAAGGGCTTTCTTTGTTTCCTCCTCTGTTAAAAAAATCCCCATGCTTTTCAAAATGGAATTCAGATTTTTAATGGGAATCCTATTTCCTGTAAAAGAAAATGGAGGAGGAGGAAGAGGAACAGAAAGAGAAGAGCATTAGGAGCTTCTGTGGCGCAGTGGTTAGAGTGCAGTACTGCAAGCTACTTCTGCAGCCAGCTGCCTACAATTTGGCAGTTCAAATCCCACCAGGCTCAGGGTTGACTCAGCCTTCCATCCTTCCGAGGTGGATAAAATGAGGACCCAAATTGTTGGGGGCAATATGCTGACTCTGTAAACTGCTTAGAGAGGGCTGTAAAGCTCTATAAAGCGGTATATCAGTCTAAGTGCTATTGCTATTACAAAGAATATTCAACTATGTTCAAGTATTTATGTTCAAATATGTATATTCATTTATGACACTTCCATACTATCACTGTTTTTAATTCTGAAACACCCGGAAGCAGATAAATTGTTTCTACAGGTAGTCTTTCTTTAGCAACCACAATTGCCAACTCAGATGTTAAAGCAGTTGTTAATTGGAACCATGATTTTTAGTCTGGCATTCATTTGCTTTACAGAACTGGTAGGTCATGCCCTGCTGTACAAGGCAGTCACTAAACAAGGATCCCTGTCATCTTTACTTCCTGCTGACCTAAATAGCTGAGATTAAGGTGTGAAAATTACTGCCATAGGTTCTCTCACCCTCATAGTACACAAAGGGGAGGGAAGAATGGCCAGTTTCAGGATATTTTGCCAGCCTGTTGTGTTGAAGAGAAAAAAGAAATTGATAGAACACTTCCCAATTTCTATTCTGTTTGTTTATCCTAGGCTAATGAGGATTTGCTGCTGAACCCCAGAAGCTGGGGAGAAGAAGCGTTTCCTCTAATAGGGAAAGAGGACCTTCAATATCTAGCATTGTAGTTGGATCATTTACATTGCAGTTGAGTTGGAAATCAGGTTTCCCTACAGTAGAAGAAAGCCATATCAAACTTCTGTATCCCTACAGCATAAGAACTGTAGAGATACAGAAGCTTGGTATGGCTTTCAGACTGATTCTGCAATATCCTTAGGCAGAAGGGTCCTTAACATTTCTATAATTTGCTTCATTAAGTATAAAATGAAGAGAAACATCAACTTATTATTTTAATATGAGTATAATTGAGAATGTTCTTTAATGCTTTGAAATGAAAGATAAGATCTCACCAAATTTAACAGAACTACATAAAAAAGAAGAGTTTGTATCATCCTCTCAGTTGTGGGTACAGAGAAAACATTTTCAGCATATAACCTTTGAGAATCTCCTGCAGCTCTCAATTTTTTTATCAATCTCTCCCCCCCACCCAATTCTATTGATCAATGTTCTAATTCCTCAATTACTCCAATTTTTATAGCTCAATAATGTTTAGTGCTAAAGCCATAACAGCTTTCAAGTATCTCATGAACGCAATTTGCTTGTGTGGAGGTGGTTTTGGCAGAGGCTGCCATCAATCATACAAGGTGCCACCATCATTATGCCCTTCACATGGAATCAATTTTACTCCCATGTTTTAGCAGAATAGTGGGGTGGGGTGGGGTTGTTACCCTGTTTTCCTCAGAGTGAGTAATTTCCCCATGTTTAGCTTTAAACCACCATCGAAGCCAGAGCATAGAACCACTCAAAGTAGTAGCGCAAGATTGGAAGATGTAGAGAGACCTGGCCCAAAGAATTGCCAAGAGTAAATTCATTCCTATTCATAATTGAAAATGTTCTAATTTTAAATCACAATTTGCGAATATAGAAAGAATTTATTTGAAACGCAAAGGGAACATTAAGAAAAATGTTTGTAATCTTTTCAATCAATAATAATGAGAGCTAAAATTGTAACCAGACCAACAAGTTGTTTGAAACTTACTATCAGCTTCAGAAAATCTTCGATTGTTGGTCAATGCAAACATAAAATCTTTTATACTCAGTGTCCCATCAGCTGCAAAGAAATAAACAAATTAATGAAAATTATTGAAAGTTGGCAACACAGTAATATTGTATATCAATTAATAAATAGTTTAATAATTTAAGCATCTTTCAAAATAAATTGTCAGTTGATTGTTAGAAAAAGGTTCATCTGAACATTTTTCTTCCCATTTATTTATCATGTCCCAGAAAGTGGTGCCACTTGGTAAATATTCTGAGTAAAAAAACTAAGCAAGATTGAACCTGGATGGAGATGACCAGGGCATTTTAATGATCAAAGTTAAACCAAGAAATAAACAAAAGACTGGAAAAAGTAACTGATTCCACCTTGTTGCGAAGAAAACTAACATGGATATTTTAGAAGTTGAATTTCATTCAAGAGAATGTTCTTCTAGTGCTTTGAAAATAAAATAGATTTTAAAAGACACAAGAATGTTAGATATTATTCAATATGTCACAGGTTTAGTTCTGGAATCTTTTACTAAATTAAAGCTTGTAAGATGATTATGATTTAACTTGTAATTTCAATTTGCCAATAATTTTGATATATTTAGATTATGCATGCTGGAGACCAACTATTCTGGAAAAGTCTTACCGTTTGTGGTAACATATTTCAGAGCTTTCTGGATTTCATCTTGAGATAACTGAAGGCCCAGAGCACACATGATGGAATCCAACTCTTCATATTCTATTTTATCTTGTCTGATGCTCTTCAGTGTTTTCACTGCTTTTTCCATGTCTAAGATAAGAAGTAACACGATGAGGCATCCAAAGGCAACAATCTACAATAAAACATGTAAGATTTATGAAAAGGGATATTCTTGCCTCCAGCTGAAGAGTATCGCTGTGTGAGTAATAACATCTTCATAAATTCTTTCAAATTCACCATCCCATTACCTGTAAGGGAAAGCAAATCTTATCAGAGAAAAGAGAAATGAAAAATAATACATAGACATTTATACATGCAATCAATTTTATATCAATTTGTATTGACCAACAAAAATATTAATATCTTCCAGATGCCAAGATTGAGAAATATGAGTCTAGATTCATGTTCAGATACAGATGGGACTAATGAGTTAACAGTATAGTTATTTAGCTGACACCTAATTACCACTGGAGCAAGATTTTATTTTAAATGCTTGCTTCTCACCATAAATATCCAACCCATGATTCACTCTATAATGCAGTGTCCTGTTTGATTCAGATGTAGGAAAGATACAGATAACCTAGAAAACTAAATTCTCAGTTGCCCTGACATTTCACAGTTACAGAAAAGAATAGTGTTTGGTTTATATTTTGAACACATAATTACTCATAGAAAATACAGTTTGATTTGTATTATGTTTGAGCACTAGAAACGTTCAATACACAAAAGTACACATATAGATTACCAGTACATACATTACCAGGAACTGAAAATGTGCAAATAACATAATTTGGTTCTTAAGAATATGGTTTAAACATTGCCAAACATTGTTCTATATTTTCTGGAGTATCATATTCAGGATGCTTGAGAATATGTTGGGACAAAACTATCCAAATGTTTATTACTTTAAAATGTGTGTTCATAGACATTCAAGCGGAATGGTTCTAATACTTTATCAGAAAAAAATCAAATATGTAGACCACAAACATTTGAATAGAGTAAGTCCTTACTATCTACTGTCATGTTCTTCAGTGCCTCCATCATGTCCTCCTTGGTTAAGGTGATGCCAATAGCAGCCAGCAGATCTTTCATTTGAAAAATCTCAACGTTATCTCTATTCATTCTGCAGAGAATGCTATAGGTGCCATGAACTGTTGGAAATAGAAAAGTTGTTTAATTAATTTCAGAAATAAGTAAAAACTTCATTTCCTTCTTACATGATCAATGCACTGCTGCTAATAGATACTTTGCTTTCTGATTGCATCACACTTGTTTTGAAAGCACGGAGATGCTTCCAGATTAGATGGTGGCATTATCATTGCCTGGGGGAATGACTGGTTGGGGCTTCTTTCATGTCCTTGTTAGCCACCATGCTCCTTGCTTTCTGAATAGTCTGCCCTTCCTATAGCACCACCTATGAAATGGCTAGCCTAGAAAGATGTACAACAGATTGTCAATGAGATCTGAAAAGCCAATAGAGTTTTACTCTTTATTGCAGGTCATCAATGTTAGTATATTTAACAGTTCAACAACAAGATTACACACAGGACAATTGCATATTTGTTGATTCTGTATTTAAGAGTGAATTTCTTCCTATTACCAACAATCTACTTAATTTAGCTATAATTAACTTAGCAAATGATTAAAATTATTTCCAGCTTTGAAAACATAAAGCTTGTTCATATAAGAACAAACCTATTTTTCCCATACAAAGTAGAAACAGCTTTAGTTTTAGCAGCAGAATTTAGGTTTTCAGAAAATGGGAAAATAAAATTATTTATTTACTACTGCATACACTGGGAACTCTGTTATCTTTTGACAGTTCCTTTTATTGTTTGCTTCCCTGCTTTTGATAATGTGTGTGCATTTGACTCTTCTCACTAATTACTTGCAGAGCCCATAGTGGCTTCCACTTACGTGAGTTTTCAGAAAAGCGTTCATTTGTTGTCACATTGACTAAGAAGTCCTTGAAACCGAACTTTCCAGTTCCTGAAAAACCAAGTTTTTCTATGCTTGAAAAAAATCAACAATGCTAACCTTTCGTTGCATCCTATAACATAATCCCTGGATAATTTCTCAAACTTTTAAGAAATTGCTAATCATAATCCAAAACATGGGAGAGACTACATATGCCTTGAGATTAACGAGCAAGCGATTCAAATAGAGGATCCAAGAGGCTGGGTTTTCATGCCAAATATAAACAAGAACTAGCCAATCACGTTTTAGGCTAACAAGGTGTGCAAACATTGATACATTTATGATCCATGTGATTCTAAAAAATTGAGTTAAATGAATAAATTATGGTGGGCATGTTTGGAAACTTTAAATAAATATGTTTGGAAACACAAGCTGGTGAAAATGACCCCTTTAAACTACTGGGTGATGTATCAGGATAATACTTGGCCTCCCTCTCCCAAAATGGATGTCCTCCAAAAATTCTGTATGTGGACTCAAATTCCTCAAATTCTCAGCACTGGGCATGATAGCTGAAATTTTCTGGACTTGATTCTGACATCTGAAGGGTGCCCAGAGATCTAATTTTTAGACATTTGAAATGGAACATTCACAACAATTGAAATTAACAACTAACATTGGAAAACTTGACTATGTTAAGTTTTCTATGAACTTTATACTGGGGAATATAATATTTGCTACATTTTATGCCACGTGGTTTAATCTTTACTTCTGGAACCTTGTTGCCTACTTTCTGTTGGATTTTTGCCACAGGCAGACTTTATTAGCATTTCACAGCTCACAGCTTTGCTACAGAATTTTGAAGTGAATTTTTTTATTTCTTATTTGAGATGGTTGGAAGATGTAGAATGAATGAGCCAGAAGTACAGACTCACCAGGTATGGAAGTACCCTTTAATGCATTTTGGAGCTCTGTGGTGTCCAACTTAACTCCCAGTAAGTCTAAAATGGACTCCAATTCTCCAGGATCAACAGTCCCATCCTTTATCTTGCTGAAGGCCACAACAGCAGATTGAAATACTATAAGAAAGATCAAGCACAAGCTTTAAAGAAAACCAAAATACTTCGAAGGATGACTGAAGTGGAAATTGCGCAAAGTCACAAAAACGTCTGATTCAAATAAATTTACAAATGGCAACATTCCAGTTCTACCATTCAAACTCATTACAAACTTTGCATTTCTAAACAAACAAAACATTACAAGCCCCTGTGGGTTATAGCTGCCCACTTAATTACCAGGTATACTGAATTTTAGGACAGAGAGTGACGAAACAAAAAGAATAAAGAGAGGACAGTAATAAAATACTTTTTCACCTGAACTATTTTCTGTATGAAATATTCTTCCTGGTACTTGGACATATCTCTCTTTGCTTTTGCAAGGAGATAAAAAATATTGTTATTATGCTAAATACCTGAATTTTCTCCCTGCTGATATTCCATTATTCTTAGCTGTGATTTTCACATTTTTAATTTCTGAAAAAATTACATTGCTTTGGGACTTTTATATTTATTAAATAATATACAATAAAATATAGTTAAGATGTAATGTAGTGAAGCAATAAAAATTAAAAAAAATTTAAAAGTGGGAAGACTCATAATAATAATAATTTATTATTGCATTTCAGGTAATCTGAGATTATACTTTGGAAGCTATTAAAACATTTAATTCAACTTTTAATGTTTTTATAGTTCTGTTTTGCAAAAATAGATCAGGCCACTGTTGTCTAGAAGTGTTATAATTTTCCCAAAAGGTAATCTTAAATTAAAATTTGCCTACGTGAACTGGTGACTTTGAAGTGACTGTGAATTTGCTAAATATAAAAGTTAATTTGCTGCTACAGTGATGGCTTAGAATGGACAATAAAGACACTTAAGTGGTAGATAGGTTTTGCTTTTTAAAATCAGGTATCAACAGTAAAGGAACCAGAAGTCAAGAAATAAGTGTACTACAGTCTAACATAAAGTAGGATAGCAATGAAGGCCTTGGAAAAGACATTTGAATCCTGTGATGTATCTCTACTTTCAAAAATCAAAATCATGCTGTTAATGTTTTTCTTCTGTAACGTTCTATGGAAAACAATGTTAAAAAAACAGTTTATAACAGTATTGACATTTTTAATTGTGAGAGAATACTATGGACAGATAGGAAAACATATCAATCATAGAAACACACCAACCTAGATTTCTAACTTGAGGCATAAATGACCAGGCTCTAGTTATTATGCATAATGGAAAGACCCAGCTCCCTTGGAGAATCCATAATGCTTGGAAGAAAAGGGCAGAACTGAATGACAAGTAGCAAAGTGGTTGGACTCAGTTAGAACAGTCATGCACCCAATTTGGGTGATCCATAGACTAAAAACTGACTAGGCTAAAAACAAACCATCCTGGGGAAGGTCTGTTTATGGGGTTTACCTACACTTAAAACTCACAATCAAACCACATGCACATTGCAAATTTATGGGTTAAAATTGTCCAGGTATAATAGACTCTTTATTACAAATCTTTCACAAATATATGGTTTCCGGATGTAAATTGCTACTGTCCAATTTTTAAAAAATGTAACCACCTTGTTTTCTACCTAATCTTCTGAGATGCTTATTATTTTTCTGTTCAATTTTTCATAGCCCAGTGCTATTTTGGGGCGGGGGGTAGATTCTGTTCAATGCTGCAAAATATTCTGTTTGGATGATACCACTTTCAAAGACCTCAACAGTCGATTATTTTCAACATCCTGAGACAAATGTTCATCTCCTACCAAAAGTAATGGCTGTGTTTTTAACAACCTCACCTAAAGAGTCCCTGAAGTAATGCATCTTAGGAAGAGTCATCAGAAAGTCTTTTAGATTTATGGTCCCATCAGCTGGTAGAAAAAGAAAATACATGAAAAATCCATTAAATCACAAAAATGTCTGGTCATAAAAATATTCCTAGATAAGGGGTTGGATTGTTAAAGAAGAATTGTTATGAGGGCTTGAACAAATTTATCTGCCTAGTTCTTCAAACTCATAAAGGACTTTCTATGTAATCAATAAAACGTTTTGTGATTAAAAATAATGTTTTTTTTAAAATCACATTTCTGGCTATGCAGTTTTTTCTATCAGGTGTTTTTAATAAACAGTACTCATGATCAAAAGTTAACATGATCAAGTTCTTGAAGAATATCTACAAATATAAATATTTATTGATTTTTCTGGAAAGGAATTTCAAAATACATAGTGTGATATTCTTAACCACCACCATAGCTCGCTATATTTTTCCTAATAGCCCAGATATTGAACTTACCAAACCAAAATATGGGCTTAGTTTCACTTTATTAAAAACAAAACAACTTACCATCCACATCGATACCATGAAAAATTTCTTGGATTTTTTCCTTGGTCAAATGAAGACCCAACTTGCCTATAGTGTCCTGCAGTTCATTTATATGTAGCTGGTCACCATGCATTTTATCAACAATGGTAATGACATGCTGTAAAGCTAGAGAAAGATGAGGAAAAAAATGTTTAAAGGAAACATACTGTACTGTAAAGAAGAGGCGAAAATACCCTAAGGAAATTCATCCATCTTATATCTGCTGTCTTATTTCAAGAGGAAAGTAGAGAAATGATTAATTCTAGAGGAATGTAGTAAAATGAACACAAAATCTGATGCCATCCATAATATTTTATAGGCCTGAGTCTACT